TTTGACGTGGTCGGGATGATATCATCGCGCTGGGCCGATTCTCAAGCAATTCTGAAATCTCGCATATACTCTTCTCCGTAGCCGTAGCGCGAAGAATGGTAATCAGCATCCAAATCCTTACGCTAAGCGAGGATGTGGAGAAATAGGAAATTTTCAATTTTTGGGAGTAATAGTGAATTGGTACCGGATAATGTTTGGTTTCCACATCTTATTCAGTTGAAAATTTTTATAGTGGAGTATGTAATACAAAATTCACAAGACTATCCTATTTTGATTGTAGTTGGAATTAGAGCGTAGATAGTTTTGGAAACTGACTGCTTATCCTAAAAAGATGAACTTTTTTGACAGGTCTGAGTTATGTCTACTTTCATATTTCCTCTATCACACTTTCATATCGTGTAAATTTGATAATATTGTGTTGCATTTCCAGGTAGTCTCGATATACGAGGTATTAAAATCAAGCGAATTACGAGAAAAATATAACAATGTGTTGGAATTTGGCTTACCTGACTGGCGTCAGCCAATATACTATTACAGGTAGTAATACTTGCTTCATATATTGATTACAAAGTTTTAAGCGTTAATACAGAAAAATGCGGAAGCTTGCATGGTACGAAGCCGTTATTGTTCTCATCGCTGTTTCAACTATTGCTCATTATCTCATGATGTGGGCCGCTTATTACGAAAAATATCTGGTGTTGAAGCAAGTAAGTGAGACGGCGGCACTTCTCTTAGATAATGATATATAGTTGCGATTTAGAGCTTGAAGAAATCGCGAAAACGCGATAAGAAAGGGGAATCCGAAGGTACGGTGACCCAGTTGCATGAAGCTCTTGAGGTTTATCGTCCTCGATTTTGTGATTTGTTGCCGTTTCTCATGGCAAATGGTTCGTGGAATATGCTCAAGGTTTGCCGTGGATATGTTATTTTATCCCTTCTTTTTTTTTGTTTTTTCAATCTGAATGTTTAATCTCTTGGTATATTTGCAAAATTTAGTTAGCTGTTTTCATTGCACAAGAACAACTGAAACGAAAGGAGCCGGA